TTTATTCAACCTCAAATACTATGTAACTATGTAACATTTTCTTCCTCTGCACTTCATACACATGTACCGAGATCTGAGAAGACGGAATCATCTTACCAGTTGTGTCTCCTCACAGGTCTGTCCCATGCTCAGAATGAGGTCACCATTGAGCAGGGGCCCCTCTACCGTACCGTCGGCTCCGATATCACCATCTGGTGCAAGGAGACAGGGTACCGGGGGGCCTCCGACCTGGAATTCCAGTACTTGGTCCGACTGCAGTCAGCTCCAGCGTTGGAGATAAACGTGGTGAGCTCCGATGATCCCAATTTCTCATATGCCAAATACTCCCAACGTGTCCTGAGCGGGAATATCAATGTGGAAAGGGTGACCAGGACCCACACCGTCCTTCACATCATCAATGTACAGGAGGGGGACACGGGAGAGTATGAGTGTTACACACCAAATACTGCCGCCACCTTTCAGGGTACCTACAGCGCCAAGACCAATCTGACAGGTAAGAAAACTGACTTCTTCATCCGCAGCCAAACCATCCAAACTGTGGTGGAAACCAACCGACAGGACCGACAATCTAATGTCACTTAATGTAATTCTTCATCCACATAGAAAGACATAGATAGAATAGAAGAGAACAACTCGAGTCTACTAGAGAACAATCGGAGTCTGATATAGATCAGTCAGAGTCTGGTAGAGAACAGTCGGAGTCTGGTAGAGGACAGTCGGAGTCTGGTAGAGATCAGTCGCAGTCTGGCAGAGAACAGTTGGAGTCTGGTAGAGAACAGTTGGAGTCTGGTAGAGAACAGTTGGAGTCTGGTAGAGAACAGTCGGAGTGTGGTAGAGAACAGTCGGAGTGTGGTAGAGAACAGTCGGAGTGTGGTAGTGATCAGTCGGAGTCTGGTAGAGGACAGTCGGAGTCTGGTAGAGATCAGTCGCAGTCTGGCAGAGAACAGTTGGAGTCTGGTAGAGAACAGTTGGAGTCTGGTAGAGAACAGTTGGAGTCTGGTAGAGAACAGTCGGAGTGTGGTAGAGAACAGTCGGAGTGTGGTAGAGAACAGTCGGAGTGTGGTAGAGAACAGTCGGAGTGTGGTAGAGAACAGTCGGAGTGTGGTAGAGAACAGTCGGAGTCTGGTAGAGATCAGTCGGAGTCTGGTAGAGAACAGTCGGAGTCTGGTAGAGATGCGTCGGGGTCCCGTAGCGATCATTTGGAGTCTTGTAGAGATTAGTCAGAATCTGGTAGAGATCAGTCTGAGTCTGGTAGAGAACAGTCGGAGTCTGGTAGAGAACAGTCGGAGTCTGGTAGAGAACAGTCGGATTCTGGTAGAGAACAGTCGGAGTCTGGTAGAGAACAGTCGGAGTCTGGTAGAGAACAGTCGGAGTCTGGTAGAGAACAGTCGGAGTCTGGTAGAGATCAGTCGGA